GTCGCACCGCTCAATCTCCAAGCGGTCAGTCTCAGCCACAGCGGGTCCGGATGCAGAATCTGCCCCTGACTGAGGCAATCAGAGGGGCACAGAAGTGTCCAATGAAGAGCCACTGATAAGTGCATGAGATCGGCGAACCATGACCTCCGAGGCCAATAAGGGGCGATGAGAATGATCTCTGCCCTTTCCAGAACAATCTTTCGGAGGACCCTCGGAATGAGGGGAATCGGCGGGAATGCGAAAAGCAGACCCGGAGGCCGCGGGGAGCGCAGAGCATCCACCGCCTCCACCTGAGGTGCCTGGAAATGGGAGAAAAATCTGGGGAGCTGTGCGTTCTGAGGTGAAGCGAATAGGTCCACAACAGGATTGCCGAAGTGACTCGCCAACTTCTGGAAGATACAGGGATTCAGATGCCATTCAGAATGGTCTATGGACTGGCGACTGACCCAATTCGCTTGTACGTTTGCCTTTCCCGAAATGTGTTCCGCCTTCAGGGAAATCAAGTGGCGTTCCGACCAAAGACAAAGTTGTCTGGCTTCCAACATCAGCAACCGGGACCTGGTGCCCCCCTGGCGATTTATGTGGGCCTTTGTTGAAACGTTGTTGGTGAGAACCAATACGTGTGTTCCGGCCACCAGATGACGAAAGGCCCGGAGAGCGAGAACGACAGCTCGTAGTTCTAGCCAGTTTATATTGCGGGAAGCTTCGGCGGCCGACCACGTGCCCTGAGCCACCTGTGCTTCGCAGTGAGCATCCCAGCCGAACATGCTGGTGTCAGTGGTGACAACAACCCAGCGACAGTCCAGGAAAAAACAGCCCTTGGCAATGGCCTCGGACCGCCACCATCGAAGGGATGCCAACACCTCCCTGGGGATGGAAATTCTGGTCGACGAGGTGCCTTTCCCCGCCTTCTGCAAAGGCAAAAGAAACCACTGAAGGTCTCTCAGGTGCAGTCTGGCCCAGGGAACAATATCAATGGCCGAAACCATCTTCCCTAACAATTTAGATAAAAGTAAAGGGGAAGCACGTTTCTCCCAACTAACCTGAGCCGCTAGAGCCCTGCGCCCTTCCTGGCATTCCCCGGATAAATAGACCTTGCCCTCCACAGAATCAATGACCGCCCCAAGGTGTGTGATTCTAATAGATGGGACGAGATGGCTTTTTTCTACATTAATGGAAAAACCGTGGGCGGCTAGGGTCTGAATGGTGAGGTGAAGGTCTGAATAGGCCTGAGGCGTAGAAGTAGACATGATAAGGATGTCATCCAGATAACACTGGAGACGAATAGACCTAAGCCTAAGAGAAACGGCTAAAGCCGCCAATATCTTGGTGAAACTACGGGAAACTGAGGAAAGACCAAAGGGCAAAGCCCTATACTGAAAATGATTCCCTGCATAGTAGAAACATAAAAAATTTCTATGGGAAGGTCGAATGGGTACATAAAGGTAAGCTTCAGTTAAATCAATTGAACAGAGGAGATCGCCCCTCCGAACGCTGTCTAAGATAGAACGTAAAGATTACATTTTGAACCTTCTATAGACTACAAATCGGTTCAAACGTTTAAGGTCCAGATTAGGTCTCCACCCACCTGATGACTTAGGTACCAGGAAAACCCGAGAGTAGAACCCCTGACCCAATTGATTCTGGGGCACAGGTTGGATGGCCCTGATGGAAAGGAGGTGATCTATAGTCGAATCCATAAGGGATCTACGCTCGGGGCTACCCGACCGGGGACAGCGGAGAAAAACAGAAGGGGGGGTGGAGACAAATTCGATGGCCAGTCCAGATCGAATGGAAGCCCAGACCCAGCAATCAGATGTAGTGCAATCCCAAAGAGCAGCAAAGAGGCCCAATCTGCCGCCCACAGGAGGAGGGAGGGCACTATTAATGATGGCGACGGATGGAACAAAAGGGCCGCCTAGTCATAAAGGACCTACCCCTCCCAGGTCTATCCTGAAACCCCGTCTGCCTGGGAACAAAATTATTCGTACCACGAGAGGATCCCGAACCCCTGTCTGAAGGACGAAAATGGGTGCGAGAGGAATAAGGTGAGTATCTGGACTCCCCCCTACGGTAAACCGTGGGCAATACTTTTCTCTTGTCCTTGGTTTCTATTAGGAAGGCCTCCAATGGATCCCCAAACAACTTCTCCCCCAGAAACGGAACGGAGGCCAACCGCCATTTATGCCGGGTGTCAGCTGGTCAATGACGCAGCCAAACCAGGCGTCGGGCTGCCACAGTAGAAGCTAACGACTTGGATGCGAAGCGAGCTGCATTCAATGTCGCATCAGCCGAGAACTGTACTGCCGCCACAATTTTGTTGATGTCTTGTCTGAATTTGTTGTCCTTGGTGGACAGTTTGTCTTGGATCTGACGAAGCCAGAGAAGGGTCGATCGGTTAAAAAAGGAGGCCGTCGTAGCCGATCGAATGGCCCAGGTGGCTGCAAGTTGAGCCCGTTGGAGAACTTGGTCGGAGCGACACTCTTCCGGGTGAAGGTTTTCTTCAGGATCACCTGGAACTGTAGAATGAGACAGCAATGCCGCGACAGGGGCATCCACTGTTGGAACCTGGAGCAGGGAGGCCAAGTCAGATGAAACGGAGAAGTTCTTCCTATCCGAGGTGGATGGTACTGGAGCAGTAGCAGGAGCGGACCATTGCCTCCGTATAACGTCCATAAAGAGAGGGAGAGTAGGCACGGCCGTCACCGGTTTAGGTGGTTCTGTAAATAAGGGATTTAGCGTGCCCTCAGTCGTAGGAGGAGTAGGTTGAGTGGAAGTCCCAAGTTGAGCCGTATTCACGGCTTTAAACAGGAGAGACTTATACAGAGCCTGCGGAAAAAGGCCTGTAAAGGGAGGTTGATCCGGAGGGAGACCCTCGTCTTCGGACAACTCTGGTTCTTGGAAATCAGCATCACCAAAGGCTGAAGGTTGGCTCACACAGGAAGGAGCAGGAGAGTGAGATTCCGCTATAGACAACAGCTCGTCCTCCTCCTCCTCCTCGGCCAAGGAGATGGAGGAGTTTGATGCCACCGACAAGGTCGCAGAGTGTTTGGATCTGGAAGATCTATGTGCAGCCAAAGACTGCTGCACAGCAGCTGCAATCATCTTTTGAGTGTCCTCAGTATGAAGAATAGTCTGTATATGTTCAGTAGCCGGTCCGACTTCCGTAGAAGTACGAACCGGGAGGAGGCTGAGCAACTGGAGCCTGGGATGAAAGAGCAGGTGCCAGAGAGTCAGCAACTGGGCCAGAGCCCCACAAGTCCGCACTATGAATGTCCAAAGGGCAATCCTGAAGTGAGATTTGATCTGGTGTAGGAAGAGACTGATGAGGCATTGCTTCAGGGAGTAGAGAGTGAGACACTGCTGCTGGTGAGTGAAGGCTGCTGATGATATTGCCTGACTGCTTCAGAACTTTATCCCTGCATCGTTCAGTACGTGATGGGATGGAAGCAGATCCCTTGTCATGTGAATGGGCCTTTTTGGACTTGGAAACAGCCAAGTTGTCAGCCTCAGAAAGGGATTTGGTCCCCAAATCTCTGTGGATGTCTAGGGACTGTTGTTGCACCGCAGCCTTGCACCCATGCTTGCTCTTAGCCACTGCCTTAGGCATGTTGGGCAGGAAAAGAAAAGGCCTCGATTAAAGAGAGCCCTTGAGTAGTACAAAATGGCCGCTCCCGGACTGCCCTCAGCTATGCCTCAATAAAATGGCCGCCAGCCACAGAAAGACAAATGGTCTTTAAGCAGGGCACCTCAGTGTCACAGTGTTAAGGATATAGAGGGCGCAGTAGTGATATAAATGCCCTGGAGGCAATAAACCTGGCCAAGCCTCAACAGGGACCTGCGACATGTTCAGAGCCTGAGAACCACAGCAGAAAATGCCTTGCCAGAAACCACGACTTGCGCGGTGAATCAAAATGGCGGACACGCCCCAGCAGCAACGGGAACGCGAAGCTCCACAGGAAAACCCCAAAAGCCGACCAAGCGACAGGAGGGTGAAAACGCTGCTCTAGCCGGTAAGGGTGAGCAAAGCGGCCAGGGATCTGCTAATTAAGGCAGGTCCGACAATCAGCTGAGGCTGTGAAAGCCGACAAGCGGCAATTCAAATTGCAAGAAATTTTTTCCCTCAGCAAAAGTGGCTCTCAAAATGGCGGTCCGACCAGCGTTAGGGAGCGTAACAACTCCACAGCGGTAACTAGGCTAGCTCAGTAGAAATAGGGCAGGTCGATGTCAAAGCCAAGTGGCGAAAATCGCCACCTCCCCCATGGGGGCGCGAGGCTCCACAACCCCCACTTACTGACCAGTGGAAGGATGATCGTCAACAGTCCAGGGGGGAGGAAACAGGCAAGGAGGCAAATTCACCTCACTGTTCAAATAATCAGGCGTCCAGCAAGCAGAAGAATAGTCAGTATCACAGTCCAATTTTTAAAGCCAAAAGAATCCGAAAATATTGAGAAAGGGTAGAAAAACTACGGAGAGAAATTCCACACTGCAGTCCAGTCTGAAGGACTGAGCAAAGCTGGGAGCCCCTAGCAACGGGGGCGGGATTTAGCTTTGACAGGCTCAGTCCTTCATCTGATTGCATGAGCTGAACCCACTTCTGGCTGCTGTCTCCACCCCACAATGGAGAAGTGAAGACTTCTGTATTTGCCTACATAAAAAAAAATTAGTAGCACGTTTTATTTATTGAAACACATTTAAAATAAGAAGTCTTTTTTATTTCCAAAAGTTAGGCTTTATGTTATGTCTTTAAAAAAATCAGAAAAGAAGTGCCAAAATTAAAATCTTTTTATTAATGTAGTTTATTAGGCTTTCACTAGGCCAAAATTTAATCTTGGATGGTGGCTGCTTATTTATCTTCTACGGGAGGCCCCTGAAAATTGATTTTGACAATTTTTCCTGTGTATAATATATTGCCTTTACAACTTCACTATCCTTTGTTAGTAGAAAACAATTTGATGGCACAATCAATCAACCAACCAAAAGAAGGTAAATAATTATACCTTTTCCTTTTGAATTAATGGTTACTCCCTCTTAATCAGCAATAGTGGAAGATTGTTTTGAAGTTGGACAGTCAATAAATCTGAAAAAATAATAATAAATAAATATTACTATTTTATTGTATTTATATTTTACTGCCTAATAAGATTTGAAATATTATTTTAAAATATTCGTTTAAGCTATAACTTCAACATAACAAGGTTGAATAAAATAAAATTATGACAATTCAAATAATAACTCCTAATTTTTAACAAATCAAAGGATGTATATAACTGATAACTTAATCCTTTGTAGATCATGATCCAGATAGAGTATAAATTGTTTTTTTATACTGGAACTACCCACACAGACTTTGACTAATGATTCTTTTAGTTTGGCACTGTCTGTAATAATGGTTGTCTTACAAACATCATTTTTTCCAGAGTTTCAGACATGGGACTTACTCAATCCATTTTTAAGAGTAAAAATTTCCTAATTTTTGAAAAAGAACCCTCTTTTGTGGATAATCTTAAATCAAGAAGAAGAATTGACTTCCTCTTTGCTTTGAATCTTAGGCAGCAGAAAAACTCAAACACCAAACCTCCTACATCTCACTCTCAAGAATTTGCATTACTGAAGGCTACCTGATCTGAGCTACAAAAGTCTGGAAAATCACTAGATAGCAGTACTAATTTATGGACAATTCTAACTTTTTGCTACTATTTAGCTAGTGTCCAGATTTTTGCAGCCCAAATCTGTTGGATCTAACCTAGTTAGTCTCACATGATTTACATTTTAAGCCTCCCATCAAATTTTAGTTTGCCTTTTAAGAGTGAAGGTTACTTTCATTGTATAATTGGAAAGAATAGTCTGAAAGACTATTGTGATTGATAATTTTTGGAGCACCTAAGGAATAAAAATTGCTTGGCTTTTAGCCCTTATCACAGTTTTGTTAAACTGTTAGCCTCTTTGCCATATCACAGGCCAATATTTTTGGAATTCTCAGTCCTTTAATAATCCTGATACCTGTTGATTCTAAATACCTTCACTGTTAGTTTTGTTCGCTGACCTACCTTTTGGTAAATCCGTTTTATCTTGATCTGACTCTGCTTATAGAACCTGAAACATGAATTGTCAATATCAGAATATTGAAACCAAAGCTTCAAATGGACTGGACAAGATTAACTGCTGGAAACAGAGGAACAATCTAGAGATGTTAGGGATTAAAACTGTATTAAGAATATGTTGTTTTTTCTTTGTGACTTTTTTTTCATAAATTCTCATCAACCTTATTTCCTGCTTTTTTAAAAAAAATGATAGTGTAACTGATAATATAAAAAAATGATTCCTTACATGATTCTTCATTCTCCTTGCAAGATGACATGACAATGGGCACTAGCAAGGGATGATTCTTTTCTTTTAGTGAATTAGTTCAATGGGATCATGATAGAAGTATGACTGTTATCAAGAATGGAATAGAATTTTGGACCCATTTTTGAGACAATTCTGCAGGTTTCTTTTTACCATTAATGTCATAATTTGGTCTATTATAATTTTCTTTTGTTAAATCTGTTGAAAATGTATCCCACAAATAGATAAGAAATTGTATTATTGTAATTTGATGATTTGCTGCTTAATTTTGATGTCATATGGAGGGATTCAGAGACTGAAAAAAAGTTGCCTCCCCTTGCATTATATAGTATGTAATTTCATATTTTACAGTCTGTACAACATTCAGTATACTATGCTAATCCAGGCAGTTTATTGCTTGTGATGGAGCAATAGATTATGCCTCTTCAGATCAAAAAGACAAGGCAGGTTGCTGTAATGTTCCAATTATTATGAAAATAAAAATACTATTCGGGTTATTTGTCATATACTTTTGCCTTATTTTAAATCAAGTCACTCCTGACACATCATGGACACTAATACTAAGAACTGTACTTCTTTTAACCTGTCACAAAGACTTGTGGCAGTCAAATGTATGCTATTTTTACTCACATCAAACAGCTATTTTATGAAGCTTACAGATAAAAGCAGCAAACTTTGAAAGTCATTTATAACTAATGGATACTCAGTTTCATCCAAAGTAAACAATCAGATTGTTTTGTACCAACCTCACCCAATAGTAACTAACTCTTGTTCAAGGCCCAGTGACAACTCTAATGGATAATTTACAGCCTACAACAAGGCTTCAGGATTAAATAACAGTTGGGCTTGTAAACCAACAGGCTTCAGTGAAAACACAAGTAATTTGTTTATTGTCTTCTTTCAGCTTCCCAATTACAATTGATCTCTGCTTAGCAGCCTAGTGTTGCTAATTGTTAAGGAAGTGAGGAAATGCCTTAATCTTTATAGGCATCTTGTAGCTTAGAGTTTGACTTCATAATTCACAATGTCAATCTCACTGAAGCCAAGATAAATGGAATGCACATCCTTGAAAACTTGTACCTTAACCCATGCTTACCAATTAACGTATCAACTGCACAAGGTAGATTGGATAACAAAAGGAAATAGCTCTTAGCCCTGTGCCACTGACAATCAAAAAGAGATAAGCACAAAAGGTATTTTCAATCCAAATCTAGGGATATCATAGCAAGATTGTAAAGCCTGCTCATTTCCACTGGATGTGCCATTTTGTTTACAAAATCAGAAACTTCACACACTGATATTGCTGCCCCGTCCTTTGATTCAGGTGGGCACAGATGAGAAGGCTTTTAAATATTTTAGGTGCTAAAACATGTACTGTGTTATAATTAATTTAACTGCTGTCATCATAAAGAAAAAGTTTATGTAAAATATCAAAATCTCTTTCAATGAAAGAGTTTTAAATGAACTAGACTTAAATACCCCCCCCCCTCCAATTCTTACCTAAGTTGTTGATGGACAATTTATGTGATGATTTCTTCAGTTTTTACTGAGGGAAAGGAGAATTTGTCCAGCAATTTCTCAAGGCCCACCGGCTCTGTCATTCTGAAGAAACACTGGTATGGAAGCCCAACGGAAGGTATTTCCATAATGATACTTTGCTTTGAATTTTAATTGAAGCGTGGAAAGCAAAGAAAAGCTGCAGACTGCTGGAGAGATGACTGTAAAATGAAGACAGCATAGTTCCAGCATAAGATTGTGCTAGAAGTAGAATGATATATGATTGTCAGATTTGAAGTAGGATAAAATAACTTTTGAACCATCCACCAGTTAATACAGATCTTGGGATTGTTTTTTCCTAATTAAAACTTTTCTTTAAAATATTCCATAAGAATTTAAAATTAAACTAAACAGTTTTTCATGAAAGCATTTCAACACTAATTAAATAAATGGACATTTGCATGTATACAGAGTCCATAAAGCACAAGAGTTTTATATATTTGCAAGTAAAACACAGTTTATTTCTCCCAGTGTAAATATTAGTATCAAACATAAATGTTCAACCAAGCATATTTATTTATTCAATTTCTGTAGCCACCCATCTCCATCAATGACCCTGGATGACTTACAGTTCCAATTGTAATTCCATTTTTGTATTATTTGTGTGCAGGATTAATGAGTAAGCTGCCTTCACCTGAGAGGATCTCAATCATTTGTAGCAGTTATAGCAATATTTTCCAGGCCATTCTTAAAGCAAAGGTGGAATGTTTGAATGGAGTGCAGGTAGTCCTCAATTTACAACTGTTTAACAATGGTTCAAAGTTACAATGGCTTCAAAAAGATTATAGATGTGTAATCTGTATCTCTTCTTCTGACTATCACATCACCCCAATGTCATATGATTGGGGCACTGGCTCACATTTATGACTGGTTGCAGCAGCTGGGTTCATAATTATGATTATAATTTGTCCTTCTTTCACTGGTTTTCAGCAAAGAACAACCATTGGGGAAGCTGGATTTCCCAATGGTTAACAACCATGGTGATTCAAGTAATGATAGCCATAAAAATTGTTGTAAAATCAGATCTTTATTTGACTTACCACTGCACTGACTTATGATGGAAATTCTGGTCCCAATTGTGGTAATAAATTGAAGACTACTAGTAGATTACATTGTAGTTGATTGCATCCTGTGCTATTTCAAAACTTATAGTGCGCTTCCAAGCCAAATGTCAATGGGTAGTCAATGCATAGTATATTTCTCTTGACTATTCTAGTCAGATCCACAGCAAAAATACTGTATTAAGGTCAGTATAAGAAAAGTGGCAGACTAAGGCTTTTCTGTCACAATTTACATCTACAGGGGAGAGTGGGGTAAAGAAACATTATTTATAGAAATCCCTTTCACTTTATAGGCCATTTCAGTAGTAGAACATTAGTAACAGCAGCAGAAATAAGAATTGCTCAGACCTACTTGAGAGAATTGCTGGGAATCCATGGGTAGTATTTTCACATGTATTAAACATATATTTGTTGGGTGTGATATCCATTAACAGATATATACCTCCTCTTGAGATGTTAATTTCTATTCTCATCAGGGGACAAGTGTGCATAATGTGTATATTTTTGCAAATATGTCCTACATATCCCCTTTTTCTTTGCTATAGATAATACAGTACTATTGAATATGAATGAATATGAATGCTTGCTTCATTTCTGAATAATATTCAACATGTTCTCAACAAGCTTGATAGAGACAAATGCATGTCAAGCGTCACTGATCATTGTAATAGTGCCTAGGCAAGAGGGCAATTTGCCTGTTCTATAGATAACAGCTGCTAAGTGAATTGATATTAAATCAGGTGAAGAATCTTTATGTTGACTTAATTGTGCTGACAAATAAAAACATACATGCATTTGAAATATTTAAAATAATTCCACAGGTACTGCCCAAAAATTCAATTATTCAAAGGTTTCAAGCAAGTAGCCATTTTGATTACGGTAGGGGGAAAAATCTCAGCGAAATGGGAAACAATAAAAGTTGAATGTACCAGGAGTACTATTAGAAAATATTATCCCAGCGAGTTTCATTTCAGTATGTACATAAATAAATACCAGAAACAGATAGGATAGGGAGGCTTTTCAAATAATTCAGGATCATGTATATACAAATATTAAATGCAAATTTAATACTTACAGATATCCTTTTAGTTGTCAGAGTAGCATTGTTCCACATG